ATCAAGGAAAAATTATCTTATTTCTATTATAGAGAATTTTCTATTATTCTTTTCTTTGCAAAATTCAAAATGACACACAAAAAGAATATAAAATATCAGTTATTTAGAATTTTAATCTAAAAAAATATATCATAAAAAGATTAGAATCAAGATATATAGCTATAATCTTTATCAATAATATAATATTGATAGCTAAATCTAAGAAGGATATAAAAAAAAATCTTGAAGATTGTAAAAATCTTCTATAAAGTCAATGACTTTCAAATTAATAGTAATAAATTAGTCTTGATATATATTAATAATCTTAATTGCTATTCTAAAGAAGTTCAAGCAAATGACCTGTAGGTCAATAGTGCAATGAATGTACTTCCAGGTCACCATCTGCAAGTTACTGGTTCAATCCTACCTAGGAACAGTTTCTGTAATATAGGTTACGTTGTACAAGATATATGCTTATCACTACATGCACCTTTGTACTCACAAATAACCTATAGATTTCTACCATCTGATCACGGTATAAAAATTAAGGTCATCCAAGCCTTAGCTAGTTTTAGTGCTAAGGAAAAAATCTTTGATATATCTGTTGCCTGAAATATGTAAGGATTTAAGACAAGCCAGAAAAAATGTCAATCAGCTCAAGCCTCTTAATGGATATGGGAAGGAAATCCATCTCTTGTCAAAACTACATCCTATGGGAGATAAGGGAGACTTTGGTCGCTTGTACCTATTGTAATGTAATGGATTATAACAATAATTAATGGGAGATCTCTATGATCGCAAAATTCACAGCTATCAAAGAGGATAGCTATTGTAGAGGCTAGTAGTTAGCATTAGTGCCATGTTGGGAAATAATCACCAAGGTAACCAATCCAATGGGAGAAGCAATCTGCTACGAAATAATCAAGAGAAACCCTTGTTAGGCCAACTTGCAAGAGTGATTAAAAATAAGGTAATGGAAGGCTATATGCTGCCCAATTACGTGACACTATTGAATTGCTTGGATATCAAGAACATGGCCAGAGGACTGCACCATCTAAGTTTCAACTAGCATGTAGAGGATCCAAATATGGTAGGGATCATCCATGATACCCATAATCATTGAATGATACACAAGACCTTACTAAGGAACACACAACATAAGTCCTTTGAAAAATAATAAAAAGTCCATAGCGGATCTTCGGAACACTATAGTCTCAGACAGAGCAGGACAACTGACAAAAATGATACCACTATATGGTAAAATTGATGGACTTGGCTAGGATAGATAGTTTAAGAAGGTTATACGAATTGCTCATGTAATCTAAAAAACTATACTACTGATTTCTCAATAAAGATTCATCTTGTCAGTTGAACTAGTTAAAAAAAAAAAAAAAGAAGTTCAAACAAGTAATGAAAAAGAAATAGCCAAAGAACTTGATAAAGCAGAACAAATCAGACTCTTAGGAATCTGAATAAGCAATCAAAAAACTGTAATCAAGTTTAAAGAATAAGTACTTAAAAAAGCAACATAATAACTAGAGTTCTTAAAAACAAAAGAATAATAGATAATAAGCTCTCTATATTTTAAATAGAATTTGAAATTTATTATAGCAAATTATCTTGAAAAATATGTAAATCTTAACAATAGTATATAAAAAACTGTTTAAAAACAAGAGTATTTTATACAGATTCATGTTTAATAGCATAATTCACCATTCAAAGATTCACAACTAAAAGAGTATTTGGATACTATGATAAGAAAATCAAGTAATAAAACTATATAATAGACTAAATGATTTAGGATCTATAGGGATTATATAATTATTAGACTTAAACAAATACAAATAAAAATTGGGAATCACTTAATTTATTGATCTACAAGTCACTAAATCACTTATTAAATAAAAATAATTTTACACTTCAAGTGATGAAATTGATAAAAGACATAGAAATAATTTTTCAAAGTTGAAAATAGTAAGAATTCTTTGAATAGAATAAAGAAAATAGTTTGATTTAAAAATATCTTATATTAGAAGAATACAAAAAAAACTATTCTATTATTTAGAAATAATAGATTAATATATAATCGATCAAGAATTCAAGAAAATAAAAAATTAGTGAATGCTTTAGCTTTTACAAGATATAAGTAAAGAATTTATCTCAGAATAGTTTTAGATTATAACTAATAATCTTTCAAATAAATAGTTAAAGCAACTTATAAGATCTTGAAAGAAGAACTATATAAAATGAAAATCAAAATACATCAAAATAAGATTTGATTGAGATAAGTAATAAAACTATAGATAGTGATGAAAAGTAAAAAAATTCAAATAATTTGAAGAAAGCTAAAACAAGAAAAAGAAAAATACAAAGTAATAGTGGAATATTTTACTTGTTGTAATATTAATAATAATCAAGAAATTAGCTTATAAAAATACTTTGAATATATAGAAGCTATAACATAAAATAGCAATTTTATTATAGAGAGAAGTATAAAAGAAATATATTTGGTATTATACCTTAATACAAGAAAATTTACTAGAAAAATATATAAACTAAAAATATTTAATCCTAAGATAATACTGGAAAAAAAAATTCAAGAAGTGATTTATAATAACCAGAATCCTTTTATAATTCAAAATAATAAAGTGAATTATATAAATATTGAAATTTAGAAAGAAATTATTATCAAAGAAAATATTAAAGAAGGAGTATATTAAGATTGTCTAATAGAAATATTTCAATACAATCTTGAACCCAAAGAAAAATTAATCTTTTATTCTAATGAATAATTTATTAATTATGGAAAAGAAGAAATGAAAATGGAAGTTACTTGAATTTAGATAGAAAAAATAGAAAGAGAAAATAAGTTCTAAACAAGAATAAACAATTGGTTCTCTTTTGCAAAAACTAAATTAATAGCAATTATAATAATACTCCTGATAGTTTTTATTGATAGTATAGTTGAAATTTGTATAAACAGTCAAGTCTATATTTCCAAATAAAAAACAATAAAAAAAAGAGGACTCAAGAAAAATGCATAAAAGATGGCTAAATGAGAAAAATTGATCTCTTTGTATATGAATGACAGAGTTAATAAAGAAGAAAAATATAGACCTAAAGTTTATTAAAGTTAAATTACATTTCAATAATTCTTATAATGAAGAAATAGATATTCTTGTTAAAGAAGTTCTAAAACTTTTATTAATCAAATAAAAGGATTTTTTCTCATATAAGATTATCACAAAAATCAAGTGATAAGATAAGACCTTAGATAATTCAATCAGATAGTTTGTTAAAAATATTAATAACAAATCAATAGCTTATTAATGTGTATAACAAAATAGAATAGAAAAAAAATAGAGTCACCAAATTTCAGAATATCAACTTCATACATGGGATCTGATATAGGAAAGAATAAAGATGGATATGTATAAAATAAATCCTTTAAAAATTTTTAACAAAAAAGTTTTCTTATTAAACTGATTAATGATAAATTATCAATATTAAGTAAATTGACTATAAAAAGATTGATATATACAAGAAAGTGAAATATATTACTTGTAGTTAATAAGAAGAAACTATAGAACACTTGCTAGAATAAAGACTAGCTACAAACAATATAGAATAAAGAAGTAGATAGAATTATTAGAATCTTTAAAGAGTTCTTACAAAAAAGAAAAAAAGAGATTGTAGAAAAAAGTATCAAGTTGATTATTAATAATCAAGAAGAATTAGGAAACTCAACAAGTGAATTTCTAGATTAGTGGAATAGACTTTTAAACTAGTTAAGATACTTTAAATTTTTATATCAGCCTAATAAAAAATAATCTTATTTTAGAAAGGATGGATCTAAAATGTCATGGAAAATATATAAGAAAAGAAGCAAGAAAGTAAATATTAAATATGCAAAAAAGAGTTTGTAACCAAGTTTAAAAAAGAATTTGAGATAAGAGATGCAAAAATATAATTAAATAGAAATAGTTACAAGGAATCAATAGAACAAACAAGATAAAAAGATCTTCAAGTTTTATAGGTCAGAAAACTATACCCTTCAAAAAGAGAGAATCACTATTAGAAGAAAGAAATCTAGAAGAAGATGAAAGTCTCCAAGTAATTCTAGTAATTCTAACAAAAAAAGTAGAATATAAAATAAAGTGGTTGGGTTTTAAGCATTGTCAGAATATCATAGAGTGATTTGCTATAGTAATCTGTAGGCAATGAAGTTAACATTTAAAAGGATTTTTACCTAAACTATTAATGGAATAATAAATCACTTCCAAAATTGTACTTAGAGTTTTGATAAATTTCAAAATATCGATAAGTAAGTTAGGTAGAGATTTAGCTTTAGCAACACATTTCTCAATGTAAAGTATACAAAATGTTTAATTAAGCACATATGCCTAGTCTGACAGAAGACTTAAAAAAAAAAAAAAAGAATAAGATTTATAAAAATTATAACAAATGGAATTAAAATTTTAATCTTTACCAGAGAATCAAAAATTATATTCAATTTAATAAAGTACAAAGGGTAATAAGTATAATTTATTTTATAATCTTTGCCGTAATCTTCTTTATTATTTTTATTAATATTCCATATTCTATATATAGTATTTGTTTAATTTAAATCAGAAAAAAAGCTTCAATTTTTTCCTTCTTTATTAAAACTGCGATATTTTATATTTTACATGTACTGTATATGTGAATATATGCTATGGAAAGGTGGATTTACCCGGATGTGAATTATACAAGTACCTGGTACTGAACGCCCGTAATTGATCTTATTGTATAAATTTTCATGACTGCGGCCATCATTCACAACGCACAAATATAAACTATGCAGTGAAGTCAATTTTTTCTAATTCTGCTCAGACTAAGCTTTATCTCACTGCACTGATCGTGTAAAGTTCCCGATTACTCTCATCACACAGGACTCGACATTAACTTTATGAAGGCTACGGTTTCCTTTAACTGTGAAATTTCTTAAATCATACTATTTTTAAATTCGAGCATAAACGAGAATGTATAAAGGTTGGCCTTTTAGTGGTTGGGGTTTGAGTATTAATGTTCCTGCGACAATCCAAAAGAGGCTGCTTAAGTTTTTACTCAAGCGTGCCTTAGGTCAATTCTTGGCTGAGGAACTTGATCTCGACAATCTTGAGGTTCAATTGGGCAAAGGACTAGTTCATTTGAAGGAGTTGCAACTTAATGTGGAGGTATTTTGCTTTCCTGGAAGCTAATAAATTAATCATTTTTTAAATTCACGGTCGCCGTTCTTTCGCGTTCAGCGAATTCTGAGGCGTCGTTTGTTACCGTTTAATATGCACCTTTTTAATCAAAGTTTTCTTTGGAATTATGGATGGTTCGGTTCGGTCTAGGTATTAAATGATCTGGTCGCTGATTTGCCGATTGTGATCACTGACGGTCGGATAGGCAGAATCGTTGCCAATATTCCGTGGAAGAACATATGGAATTGTGATTGCGTTCTGGAGTTTCATAATTTGAAAATAACTGCTGTACCCGAATATACTAAACCCAGAAATGGTAAATTTATTTCTTTGGGAAATAATAAAAGTTTGATTGCTTGATGATTTATTTAAACCTATATTTTTAAATTTATTCTTAGCTAGGGTCACCCCAGAGGACTCGCATATATTATCTTCATCTATCCATTTTGCAGGAGATTTTCTCCGTCACGAGATGCCACCCGAGGAAGACGAAGTACTTCGTAATTCGATTTATCATTCTTTTACTGTACCCCAATCAGATAATAATGAACCGGAGTCTGGATTGGAACAATCTGAAGTCTTTCCGCAGCAAGCCCCTTTGCAAGGAGACACTGGTATCGAGAGTATACAGGTTTTGGCGAGATTGATCGATAAGCTCATGTCGAATATAAAGATTTTGTTTAAGGATACATGTATTCGACTGCAGCATCATTCCAGTGTCAGTTTCGATGATAATATCAAGAATGATGCTGGAAACCTCAAAGAGTATTACTTTGATCTTGAAATACCAATAATCTCTTTTCAAGACGAGACCCAGGAGTCTGATGATGAGTCTACCCCAACGAATTCTGCTTCCGAAAGTGTGAAATTAAGTCCCGCACAATCCGAAACTGTAAAGTCAGTAACGATGTCTGGGCTGAGTGTTTGGATAAGGGAGGCGCTGAGTTCCATGGATATGTCGAACTCCTATGAATCCTCACCAAAAACTGAGGAATATACGGAAATTCCAGATATAAGAGGAAGGTTATATTAGCAGAAAAGGGGGGAGCATACCGAAAATTTACAAAAGAAAGCTTACGAGGCCATGATTTTATCTTGCATTGACGGAGAAAATTGGATACGCGTTACTTTACGCCCAAATGCCCCACCATCAGTTCAAATGGATCTCAATAATTTTTCATCATCATATTATTACACTCAGGAAGCCATGCAACAAGCCAATATCACACAGCATTGGGTCATCGATGGCTTAATTAAGTCGGTGACCGCGGCACTTACCCCAACCCAAGTGGCATTGATTGCCGATCTGGCGAACGCGTTGTCGAAGATTAGATCGTCATCGGAAACGAGACTTTCGAGCAGCACCGAAAGCGATGACGATTATGTTGGTGAAAATTCGCGAGTTAATAACAGTCAGGGTTTTGGTAGTAGGACGTTTGATAATTTCGGTTATAAAAATCAGTCACCAGTTGAAGGATCAAACTATCGTCGAATGTCACAACAATTGCAGGATGATAATTTTTATCGCATGGACAACCATGTTTTCCAAAATTCCAACACCTCAACAAACGCATCATATCCGTACAAATCATCATCTCGTCCTTATTATAGGTCGTCAATTCCCAACCAGACTCCTACGGCAACCACTCCAACTGCGGCTGCGTCCACGGGGTCTTCCACACCCATTATTAATTTTAAGCTTGACGTCTCGATGGTTGAATTATTCTTCTTATATCAAGATCCGCCACCCAATCTCGTTCTCGATCATCAGTTTTTCTTTAACAGGACAAAAGAAAACATCAACGTGGATCATCTGAAAATTGATGTTCACAAATTAATGTGTCGGATTCAAAAGTGGGAACCCGATTCTTTGGTAGAGATTCGAAGGAGAAGCAGCAGTTCTTCAACCGGTAGTTATTCATCGACACACCAAAAAAATTCGGAGGCAGACGAGTCACTGCGCGTAATAATGGATCTCACAGTTTCAGATTTTGCGATTTTGGAATGGCTAAAGGATCCTTCAACGGATACTAAGTCAAAGATGGGATTTTCAAAGCCTGGCTATACACTTCCCTCATTTGATTCATATACGCAACTTTTAGGATTTGACCCTGGTCTAGTGAATTCTTATGATCTCGACGAATCTGATTTTCCAGTTATCAAAAACACGGACAAAAATCAAGGATCTCGGGCTAGTAGTTTTAGAAGGATTGGGAAATATGGTCCGAGACGCAGTTATAATGGAAACGAGATGGTTAAAGATGTAATTAGAATTAAATTGGAGATTGGAAGTGTCGCGAATGAAGGTATGGTTTAAATGATATTCATGCTTTCGTGAGTAAATTATTATTATTTTTTTTTTTTGTATTTATTTTTCGTTGCTTTTTGTTAGGACTATTTTCTAATTCGGTGTCTCCGGGTGTCTTGTATTCCGATGTTTCAATGGAACTCGAACCATTTCACGTGCATCTTGACCTCAGAATAGTTGATCGATTGGAGAGGTATATGAACATTTTTTCGATGGAAGCAAATGAAAAAGATTCTTTCTCGGAAGAGAATACAACGAAACAATCCTATAACGGGCAAGAATCCAGTCAACTTATAATCGACGACCTTGATACACAGAGATTACACGAGGTACAGGATTCTGACTAACTAATTAATGCGATGGGCGTATCATGAACTAAATTTCACACCTCACACTCTCCACATAATTTTTCCTAGAATACTGCCTTACAGAAATTTCGGCTTAGAATCAATTGTGATATAATTCGGCTTTGGATTCATTGCCCGGATATGAGCAACGCACAAAATATAATGGATAAGTACAGCATACATTCCAGTTTGCTAATCGCCGACCTTATACATATACACGTGGCAGTTGGCGACATATCTCAGAATGAATCCTCACGTTCAGCAAACTTCGGCGTACAGCAACATGAATCCTATACAAACGATCTCGACTTGCAACAAAACAAAATCAGGGTTGAATGTGGTGGAATAAACGTTTTTGTGAAAGAATCCAATGGTAGATGATGCGAAGTTTTTATTTTCCTGCAATTCAATTTTTTTGTACATTTGTTAATAATTCTTAAAAAAAAAAAACTCACTCAGTTCCTGATGCGAAATGCGTCCTCATCGTAAAGCCGTTGCCTTCACTGCCTCATCGCTCCAGTACACCCATATTTCCTAATTGTGAAATTACTTACCGACCCACCAGCACAATTACCAACCGGGTATCACATATTGGGGGTGGTGCTCGCTCATCGCCGTTTTCTCGAACTTTTTCTACATTCGAAGGTGAGGAACGTGCTAACTGGCCTGCAGAAAACGAAGAGGAGGAAATTTTGATGTTTAAACAACGAACCATTGAAAGCTCAGTAAGTTCTATGCATTTTGATTCGTATATTTTATTTTGTCATTCAAATTACCATTTGTTACTCCATAGTTGTTCGTGATACATTGCAATCTTCCTCTCATTCGAGCTCGAATGACCAAATCTTCATTTGACACGCTTCAAATACTTTTGAATGACCTGTCGATTTGGCAACCTAAACGCAACTCCGCCGCAAGTGAAAATTTTGCTCCACCACCGCCACCTATTAACTATTCCCGCGGATACACGAATAAGGCTCACCAAGATACACTCTATGGATTGAATTACTCGGAATTGATCAATAGTCGCGTGCTTCCTCTACGACCGAGTCTGGCTTCTGTGGTCATAGCAATGATCAGCGGTAATGTAATAAACATCATTGAATTATTTTTTGTTTAATAAATAAAATTACTATTTGGCTGAATTCCTTCTCACCTGTTAAATCACATTTCGCAGTTGAATTCGTAATACTATGCGAGAATGAGAAAGAGGATGGCCAGGCGCAATACGTTCATTCATATCAACTTCACATGCAAGATTTTAGATTTTTTGCCGTGGTCAAGCATGAAGGCATCGTGCGTGTCTATTCTAATTATAATTCACGTGCATGTATGTATTTATCGACTCATCTCCTTTAAATGTTTGATCTTTTTTGTAGGACGACACATATATGATTCTGGACAACGACCAATTCAGCTTCTCGGACGTGTCTGGTCGTGAGAAGTTACCAATTTTGTGTCGTACTTTAAGCAAGAGCATTAAGGTGACAAGGCAAAATTTAAATTTCTTATTTCGATGATTTTAACTTGAGAACTGAATAAGTTTCTTTCGTTATTCACAGGCAAAGAACAATCGTCCCATGCTTTCTGTGATCATGCATATTTCACTTGACGCCGATTTAAATATGAAGGAGACCAATTTAGCATTGTCGGTCAATGGGGTTTCTTTGAAGTATTCTCAAGATCCACAATGGATTGAAGATGTACTCGGGTTTCTGAGAGAGCCAGACATGGTACTTTAGCGATTTTATGTCAAGATCTGTGAAAATTCTTGTTTATTGAAATTATTTGTTGACTTTTCGCGTGTCAAAATTTTAATTATTCAGAATTCATACTTGGATCTTCCCGCTCAATTCACAAAATTATTTGTCACCGTCAACGATTCTTCTATTGACTTCAAGCCCGATGAGTTTAACGGACGCGTTGTAGCCGTATTCGATAGCCTGAAGGTGCTCATCTAGTCATCATATCATATACAATTGTTCAATTAAATATTTTAATTGTGCATCTCTTTTATATGCACGGACTCACATTCACTGACCAAAAATTTAGGCATCAAGCAACATAATACCCGATTCACCGATGTTTGCCGCTAAACTGATTGTTCAAAATTTGGATTTGATGTTGATCGATGACATCAAAACACTAAATGACCGTGTAACAAATCGATCAAATTCAGTGCCTTTAAGTGTCAAAAAGTATTGGAAGGTATTTGTTAACCTTTCATTAAGATCAATTTCTTAGTTGTGTCGATCAATTTGGACTAACGTCGGTAACCGGTTAAACGAATAAAGTCAGTGGGTCTTGTGAAGGCGGCTGCTATAGATTTTGCCGAGATAAATCTTCGTGCTAATAAGGGAGATATATATCCGCACCTCGAGGTACAACATTTGCTGGTGTTGTCACCACTTTTAATGCGTATTATTAACGCGCGCGTTGTGTTTTTCAGCTTGAGCTCACCAACGAGAAACTCACTATTGAGACGTGTGCGGATACCTTTCAAACGATCATTAATCTAATTAACCAATTGACACCTAAAACCGAACATCCTGACAGCGGAGCGGGGTTGGTGCAACTTTTTTTCTTAAAATATTCTGTAGTACCTAATAATGTATTCATGGTCATTCTTTTTCAGAAAACGAGTTCCTCATATAACGACCGTTGGTAAAAACCTTTCGGAAGAAGATCTTGTAGAAACAGTATATCCAGATATGCTAGGTATTTTTTATGATTCCATTAATCAGTATCCTCTCAGATGGTTGACGTGCTTTACTTGAATTTTTAGCGAGTTTGGATGAAGAAGCATTTGTGCGACCACGATCAGAAAAATCGAAATCAAAGGTTTCGAGTGGAATTCCAAATTCTAATTTAGAATTCGTGGAGGAATTTTTTTCCCTCGAGAATGGCAAAAATGTGGCGCATGATTCGGACAGTTGCTTCTTTGAACATGCTGTAGTTGATGATTTTAATGATGGTAAGTCGATTTATTTATTTTGATTTATTATTATTATTATTATTATTATTATTATTATTATTATTATTATTAATTTTTATTTCCACTATTTTTTTTTTCAAGAGGATTTTATGGAAGAGCAGCAATTGTATGCCGTTCCGACTCCCAGTGTGACACAAAAAAATATTAAGATATCTGAAGTTGTATCTCGCGATGACACAGTTCGTGTTCTAGATCCGGAGCCTCTCAACTTTGTTGATGATCATTTCTCGGTGCCAAGTGCCAATGAACTCAAAGATGCCCACAAAGAGTAATGATATCAGTTTTCACGTAAAATCCTAATTTATATCAGGACTAACGAAATCGTGAACTTTTTTAGGTCGACGAAAAGTTTGACTAGGATCCGTTTACGGGATTTTAATATTGTGTGGAAGTTCTATGATGGATATGACTGGGAACGCACTAGAAATGAAGTATTCACTTCTTTAGCCTACTCAAAAGTCCAATCCAAAACCTTGGCGAACTCTACCACCGGTTCCGCGGGACCCTCAAATGATCTGAATGTCCCATCGGACACAGAGGCCACCAATCAGTTTGAACGTTTATTATTCATAGGATCCCCGTTTAGAAACCCAGATTATGACGGATCATCTCAACCAACATCCGAAAGCGATTATCTAGGCGATGATCAGAGTGATACGGCCAGTCAAGTTAGTTCACGCGTCGACTCCGAAAATACTAGCGTTCGAGATGGGAAACGACCCGAGCAAGGGCGCCGAACTCCTTCGAAGTTATGTCGTTCAAGGTCGAGCAAGCTTGAGATTAAGCTTGAAAAGGTGAACCTGGAATTTGACATGTTCCCCAAGGATAATTTGATTGCATTTCGATTGTTGCTGCTCATTCGAGATTTAGAAATACTCGACCACATCAAAAGTTCCGCATGGCGCAAATTCCTAACACACATGCGTCCGGACAATGATACAAACCCTCGCGAAAGCAAATCCAACATGATCAGAGTGGATTTACAAAGCGTTCGACCTTTGCCGAGCGACCCTGTTGAAGAATTCCGATTGAAGGTAATCATCGTTGCCATCCATAGTGCTGAAAGTTATTGTTTATTTTATTCTAATAACCTTCATTTGTCCTCTAGGCAAAACTATTGCCTCTTAGATTTTACGTTGACCAAGATGCGCTTAATTTCATAATTGGGTTCTTTTCCTATCAGGATCCTAGTGTCAATTCTCCAAAGACTGAGGATGATACATATTTCCGTGAGTTCTTTGCTCAATTTGCACGATCGTTGATAACGTATATGACATATCGAATTCCACGAGAATCTTACCCACTCTATTCAATGTCCGAAATTCATTTCTTCAGAACATTTTGAAATACAGCCTATCGTAATGAAATTAGACTATAAGCCAAAACATCTCGATTACAGCAATCTCAAAGAGGGAAATTTTGTCGAGTTGATGAACCTCTTTCACCTCGAAGCCGCCGAAATGACATTGCGGGGTGTCAAATTAACGGGGGTAAGATCATGTGCTTTAGTAACGTGAACGAAGTGTGTTCATTACTTAATTCGTTGCGGGTTTAGGTCAAAGGCATATCTCGTTTGCTAGAAGACTTGGGTGCTGCATGGTTACCACATATAAAAAGTACTCAAATGCCAAATGTTATATCAGGTGTGGCACCAATACGTTCTCTGGTCAATATTGGTTCGGGAGTTGCTGATCTTATATTACTGCCAATTGAGCAGTATAAAAAAGACGGAAGGATCATCAGAGGTTCCATTTGAACTCTACTTTCTCTTTCTGGTTTGGGTTTCTCATAAGTAAAACCTTGTGATTTATCGTTATTACTTTTCGGCAGGTCTTCAGAAGGGAACTCAGTCCTTTGCTAAAGCAACCACAATGGAAGCAATCAAATTTGGTACTAAGCTTGCCGTTGGGACTCAAACCTTACTTGAGCATGCCGAAGAGATCCTTTCTGTGAATGGCGATGACAGCAATCTCTCCGCTGCGGGCGATGAAGAGGGGTTCGAGAGTGAAGAGGACAATGGCAAAGAATCAATTAGTAAATATGCCGATCAACCCGCTGACCTGAATGAAGGTAAGCAGACTTCTGAAGCAAGTTGGTTTTTTTTTTTTGGTAGTTTAAAAAAAAAAAAAAATGGAACGAATAATAATCGAATCGATGTGTTATTATTGATTATAGCCATCGAGGTAGCTTATAAAAGCTTACGCCAGAATTTTGGCACTGCCGCGCACACAATCTTTGCAGTACCAATGAAGGTGTACGAAAAGACGGGAACACAGGGAAGTGTTAAAGCTGTGATCCGGGCAGTACCTATTGCTGTTCTGAAACCGATGATTGGGGCTTCTGAAGCTGTGTCGAAAGGATTACTGGGTTTACAAAATACAATAGACCCGAATAAAAAACTACAGATGGAAGATGTAAGCCGTTTTATTATTCCTTTATTGTCATCATTCTACATTCATTAAAGTTCGTTATTACATCTCGCAGAAATATAAGAAACGGTAAAATGATTTCCTTCGGAAATTTAATAAGCCAAGATTTTATCAACGCAAATCTCCCCCCGTCACACAAAGAACGTACACTTTGAGCTGAGCTCTTAACTGATTCTGATCTCGACGAAAATTTGAGACTTTGTACAAACGTCACCCCATTTTTAAGCCTTCCATGTTGATGAGTTAGAGTTAGCGAATCGTGATAATTTATAATTGGGAGCCACGCTCCAAAAACTTCTATACACCTTAAAATGTTATTTGTATATTTACCTGAATTACAAGTTTTTTTTTGGTTGTACTTTAATTTACTGTACATTTGCATTGTCAAATTTGTCACACTCATTTCTCACAAAATTAAGATATGCCAACCAGAAATATATTTAAATAAAATAATTCATAGATAAAACGGCTGAGCGCATTCTCAACTGCAGAGCGAACAACACGGACATGTCATTTAATTTGATTTTGTGGTAAAAATGACCTAATTTGATTATTGGTTGAGAATTCACAAATATTTAATTTAAAAAGCAGACAATGTACTAAAAAGTCGTGCAAAATTAATGAGTTAAATCGTCAGTTAGAATAATCTCCCGTTTGAAATTTCTTTAGATCAAATAAGGAGGCACTTATACGACGACCACCAAACCATCGACCATCTAATTTTTCCTTTGCTTTTTCTGCAGCTACAAGGAAGGATCCAATTTACCAACGAGCGTGGAGCGAAAATGCCAAGATGAACAATTTTTTTTAAAAGTAAAATGAAATGAAATGAAATGAAATAGAAAAGCCTACCAGAACCTTCTTCGAAGTGAACAAAGATTTTAACCAGCCCTCGTTCGCCCTCAAATACTTCTTCTAAATCAATGTGAACGACAACTTTATTGACCTTACCAAAATTGCCACACTCTTCTTGAAATTCTTCTTCCAGCGAGTCATCTACTTCCGAAGGTGCAACAGCATTACGAATCACGACCACCGGAGATGACTGAATGAGAATTTGTCAAGTATCAATTTAGGAAAGGAGAAAAACGAAGGACGGGAGTTGGACCAACTACCTCGGCCCGTGCCAATTTCTGCATGATGGCGTAACGTTGACTAGCACTGATGCTCATGTTTTCCTCTTGCGCAACAGATTCAACCGCGGCTTGACCCCTGGAGGCAAGATCGGCCGCAATTTTGGCGGCTGCATTCTGTGCTTTGGCGGCGGCAGCTAAGGAATTAATAATAATTGTAATTAAAATTGAAAAATTAATGAATTTAGCAACAAATTTAACGAATCCTATAAACCTGCGGCAGTCACCGAGGGTGAGGTTGAAAGGGTTGGCGGTGGTGCAACCCCTGCAGGAAGCGGGGGCAACTTTTCGATCGCTTTCATACCCTCACTAAGAGGTCCCCCTATCACAGCCTTACCAACATGTAGGGTCAAACCTCCCAACTCAAAAATTTTCATAGAATTGACTGCTGTGCAAGCTGCCGATTCATCATCAAATTCGATGAACCTAATTGAGAACAAGACAGGTGGATGGGAATGTCAGAATGATTTAAGTATTGAAAACACAAAAATTATCGATTAGCGTTGTGGTTTTAAGGAGCAAAAGTAGAACCGCCACTGTTGACCGTCCATGCTGTGGTCGCCAATATCAACGAAAGTAGTGGGATGTTCACTGGACGATGTTGGCGTGAATGACTTCTCAAAAGATATGAAATGCACACATGTTCATATAGATAGCTGATGCGAACGTATGTACATAAAATAAATGACCAAGTAAATGGCAAAAAAGTGCATGGGATGAAAAATAAAAAATATAGTGCATGGAGTACATAGAGTGCATAGACGAAAATTGTAAAAAAGTGAGTGCGCAATTTCCTAGAACTGCCTTTTTTTTTTTTTTTTTTTGATTTAAAATATAATGAAATTAAATAGATGAAACGGAATAATCCGGAGATCAGAGACGAATGCCTCTGTCCGTTGAGATCAGAGTTCAATAGGAGAGATGCGGGGTAGGTATTATGAAATTGATGAACGCGCGCGCAGCGTTCAATAGAAAGGACTTCTCGTCGCGTGAAAGTTGTGATCACCTCTATGCGTGTCTTTTCGTTTTTATCTTATCTTTTTTTTTTTTTTTTTTTTGATTTTGGGGTCAAATTTTTTGACTACGCGACAATTTTACTCACCCATATCCCTTGTGTTTTCTCGTTATGAGATCAGGCTAAATCGTGTAACGAGAATAAATAAATAAATAAATAGATAGATAGATAGATAGATGTTATTTTAATAATTAAAAAAGATACTTGAGACGAAATGAGTGTAGAAAGAAACCAAGACTCACCATCAAAACGCAATGATTAATTTTCCCGAACGACTCAAAAATACTCATCAGGTCATCCTCGCTTACATATTCGTTAACATTAGAAACGTATATTCGGGTTTTAGGAGGAGACAACAAACCTGCATTCACTTATTCAGTATTTCGCGGTCATCTCAGACTTTAGGTTGTGAAATATAATGCAAGAAGAAGCGTTACTAACCAGCGGCGGTGGCTGCCGTATAATTGTTAGGACGTCCAACCTTAAGTTGCCTTGATGAAATTATCAAATATTTCTTATTAAAAAAAATGATGAATTCCTCATAATTTCTGCGAAAGAGATTTTTTAGCATAAAAAAAAAAAAAAAAAAAAAAAAATTTTTTTTAATACCTTCCACCTAACTCGGCACCATTCATTGATTCAAGAGCCAATGACGCACCTTCGGGCGTTTCAAATTCGATAAAGCAAAATCCCTTATGCTTTCCGGTGAGGGGATCTAATGACATGCTGACACTCTTTATTGCGCCGAATTGACCAAACACCACACGCAGGTGTTGTTCGGTGAGTTCAAAATTGATCGATCCAACGTAAATACGTGATAAAACAGACAGAGAACGCGGATCTATTCCCGATGCTAAACCAGGATTGGATGACAGGAAAAAGGTGGGCAGCGGTGGCGGTGAAGTATTTTTTCCGACTGGATTGAGTAGCTGTAAGAAGCGATCATACGATTAGCTTTGGGAATTCGGAGTCTTGCATCTCATTTGTCCATTACCACTGCCTGCATTTCTCTCGCAAAAGCTTTGGCTTTTTCTAACGCCGCCTTTTGAGCCTCGTTTAAGTGTAGAGCCGGATTCTGATCTAGCCATGAAGGTTTGGAGAATAGTGTTGCTGTTGGGGACGTATAAATCGGCGTCGTTGATTGTGCCATTGGTAAACTAGAGGAAGAGGAATAGGTTGGAGTTGAGTTCTTTGCTGTTGACACCGAAGTTTCGGGGGGAGAAGGTGTGACGAATTTTGATGTCGGTACGGGAGTCGATGTTTCTGGAGAAGCTGAATCTGTTAAGGATCGATGGGTTTCAATAAAAAAAACTAAAGGTCTACTGGTTACACGGATCAAGACAAAAAAATTACCTTCAGTCTTTTGTCTCTTAGCATTCTCTACTTCATTTTCGTGCAACCTTTTTTTTGCTTCAGAGAGAGGTTCTTCACTAATCGGCGTGTCGGACATGTTATTTTGCTTATATGTCTAGTGGAATGAAAAACTTTTGAAAAAATTAATTTGCTTTTCCTTCCTTTCGACCATAAATGGAAGTTGATGATGTGAAATCATATGATCATGCATGCTATACAGATTCAGGAAAAAAAAAATTTATATAGATATGCGTTATATATAAATATGGCGTATAGAAGTTGTACTGTTCATTGTTTTCATGAGATTCAAAATGTACAAATTTGTTCAAAGCCGAAGTTATTATGTAAAAGTCGCCGTCTTTCTTTTCTTTAAAGTAGAACGCCGTGATGGAAAGTTATGGGCTCGCCCTAATCGAACTAATAATGAAATTTTACATTCTTGATAGATTTTAACTCACAAAAGCTCTATCAATTCCTTTAAATCTGGAACAATTACAGCAGTTGGTCGTCGGCTTTTCGCCACTTCGACTGGTATGTACACTTCATGCTTTACCCCTCGTTCCATTGAATCACCTTTCCTCAAAGCTTCATAATGTTTTTTCCCGCATTCGAACGAAAAAGAAACGGACTATGACATGGTTGTTATCGGTGGAGGTCCCGGCGGTTATGTTGCTGCGATAAAAGCATCCCAACTAGGTTTGAAGGTATGGCGCGCATCAACCGTTGAGAACACATGTTTTTTTGGCAACGAACGCATCATTCGAGTTTTTGAACCGTGAACAATTTTTTCAATAGACCGCGTGTGTCGAAAAGCGTGGTTCTCTTGGCGGAACATGTACGAACGTTGGGTGCATCCCTTCCAAGGCCTTGTTGAACAACTCCCACATCTATCACCAAACCATACATGATTTGAAGTCGAGAGGAATTGATGGTACGTGTTGACCAGGTATACCTCTTCGAATGGCTCCGGTCGAAATTACCAAATATTATTTCGACGAGATATCGGTTCTGGGTACTGATGTTTGTTGAGAAAAAGGCGGTTGGCGGAATTTTGGGAGTTGACGGAGATCGTTTGAAGCGGGACTTAATTTCTCCGAATAATCAAAAGTGGATACTGAAACTTTTTTTTTTTAAAAAAAAAAAAAAAAAAAAAAAAAATTTGTCTCCATTTCTATGACGCAGTTGAGAATGTAAATTTGAACCTACCCAACATGATGAAGGCTAAAGAGAAAGCTGTTGCCGGCCTCGCGAGAGGTATCGAGGGTTTATTTAGAAAGTATGGCGTAACTTATATAAAGGGTCATGGAAAATTTGTTGGAACGAACAAAATTGAGATCGATGAATTGGATGGAAAAAAGACTACAGTTCAAGCAAAGGACATTATCATTGCTACTGGTTCAGAACCAGCCCCATTCAAAGGCCTCGAGGTTTGTACCGCAAATGACCGGGCATGCGTTGGGAAAAAAAAAAAAAATATATATATTTTTTTTTCGCTAGATTAATAATGGTAAGAATGATGAACATTCGCTAGGTTGATGAAAAACAAATTGTCACCTCCACCGGTGCACTCTCATTAGAAAAAGTGCCAGAGAAGTTGGTTGTCATTGGTGGTGGAATTATTGGTCTTGAGTTAGGTTCCGTATGGCATCGCCTTGGTTCCGAGGTGACAGTAGTGGAGTATCTCAGCTCCATAGGTGCTGGCATGGACGGAGATACAGCGTGTGTAACAACGTGAAGTCTAATTCGTTTCGAGATCCGGATCATTTCGATATTAATGAAAATCATCTACATTGTTTGACCGACAGCAAGTCTCTCCTAAAAATACTTCAAAAGCAAGGACTCAAATTCAAACTAGACACAAAGGTTATTGATGCGTCGAAAAAGGACGGGAGAGTATTAGTAAACGTTGAACCATCGAAAGGAGGCAACAGGGAAACTGTATGCATTTTTGACTTTCCAAAGAGTCTTGCCTTACTAGTCCGCTTTTTAATACAACTATATATACATATATATACATATATATATTTATTTATTTGTTTGTTTTTTTTAATACAATCAAGCTGGAATCCGATGTTGTCCTGGTTTCAATTGGCCGACGCCCTTACACTGAAAATCTGGGCCTAGAAAATGTGGGCATTGATGTGGACGAGAAAGGGAGGATCAAGATTGATTCTCAATTTCGCACCAGCAAACCTAACATCCGTTGTATTGGCGATGTGACGTATGGCGCGATGTTAGCCCACAAGGCGGAAGAAGAAGGTTCAACATCAAATTTCTTTTTGTCTTCCTTTATTTTCCATATTTAAATGACATCTTGCTTCCAGGGGTTGCTGCGGTTGAGTACATCGTGGGCGGTTATGGACACGTAAATTACGACGTGATACCGTCAGTCATTTACACTCATCCGGAGGTGGCGTGGTGCGGTAAGACGGAGGAGGAGGTAAAAGAAACAAAGCGCCCATATCGCGTTGGCACCTTTCCATTTCTGGCCAACTCCCGTGCTCGTACCAATGATGATGCCGAGGGCTTCGTTAAAATGATCTCCGATCAGGAGACTGATGCCATTCTGGGGGTGCACATCATTGGCCCGAATGCGGGTGAGATGATAGGTGAGGCGGTGCTGGCCATGGAATATGGCGCGAGCAGTGAAGACATTGCCAGGACCTGTCACGCGCATCCGGTAAGTTTCCTTTGTCGCATTTTCACGTCGCGCCGTTCTTTTTACCTCGTAACTAACGTTTCGCCATTCGCATGTTTTTCCAGACATTATCCGAGGCATTGAAAGAAGCCGGTAAGTAGTAATAGTAAGGAATCGTTAGACTTGAAATTTCGTGCGTCTTCAATTGGCATTACTAAATGAATATCGGTCTTTCTTTTCCCATCAGCGTTGGCCACATACTCGAAGTCAATCAACTTTTGAACATTCAATCATTTGATTTTTCGTAGAATAATTTTTATTGCGTTTTATTTATTCGCGTGGTTAGATACTACTTGAGAATGTTAACACCGTAATTTTTAGTAATACATTACTACTACACCAACTTGTAATAATCTCATTTTTCAATTACAAACGCATTATCTATATTTACAACTGAAATAAAAGAAGAAAAAAAAAAAATCTTTGTTCCTCCATTACATCACGCGACAAATCTGTGAGATAAGGCACATACCTTTGTGTTAGGATTCGGTGCGTTTATTAAATTTAGTGTTGTGTGCCGATGATTTCTATTACCGACTCGGACACCCCGTTTAGCACGCCTCACGCACACTATTCTAGGGGAGATGATGAAAAAGTTTTTATATCAACACCAAAAAACGGTGAACAATCATATATATATATATATATATATATATATTTTTTTTTAATATAATCATACAAATAATTAGTCTAGGAACAAGTCAGGTTTTGTTAATGTTATATGTGTGTGCATTCTTTGATCTTCAAAGCCTCTTTAAGCTTCGTTTTTTGTCGGCTTGCTTCTTATCCAGCTTTTTATCCCCGGAACGTTTCTTTGGCGTAACGGAGGGGCTCGAATTATCGGAGGCAGAGGATGTCGTGTTCTTTTTAACATTTTCAATCGATTCCGACTCATTCTTTGATTTTGAAACGGCGAGTGGTGTAACTAGTGGCGCATAGGTCGATGCAACGGTGGTTGTGCTGGGGGTCTTTGTTTGGATGGTCACGATCTTCTGGGGAGAGGAGGACGTTGAGATGGCTGATGTAGTGGTGGTGCTCGACGATGTTGACGAGGTGGATGTGGCAGTGGCATTGTTGTTTGAAAACACGGTCGGTTTACATTGAGCATGTATACCCGTCATCATCCGTGCCCGCTTCGCATAATCCTCATAGCTATCCAGAAGTAGTTTACCCGCATCATCGTTGAGTGCGGACTCTGGGTTTGGAACGATCAAGAGGCATTTGATAGTCTACATGGGGGAAATTGGTTAACCGAGAGTATAAAAAGCAAATCGGTGTAGCCCAAGAGTTGGGGGTAAAAGCGTACCAAGAGAATGTGTTCGATGCCAAACTCCTTGTTCCAATCCCTTTTCAGCGTGTCCACACAGACTTCACCCGATTTTGACACATTAGGATGAAATATCTTGGTAATGAAAACACCTGTATGCATACATATCGAGTTTTCGGTTAATATCGATGCACAATCTCTAAAGGGACGAATCGTCAAGGTTGCCAAGCTTACATTTTGGAGGAGCGGTCGGGAAATCGGCACCGAATATCACTTTAACTCTAAAGTAACCGCCTTCGTACGGGGTACCTTCTATAGTGGGGAGGAGGTCGTCATGATTAGTATTTATTATTACTTTTATTTTAATTTTTTATTAGGTTAACCTATAACTAGAATACTTTGGTTTTGTCAGAGGAAATCAGGAACGCTTACCAGGTCCCAATATCCAAGCTTGAACATCACATACATTCAGTTCGTTCATCAGAACTCTGATCCCCTCTGGAGGTTGTGCTTTTAGGGTCGCCAACTCCTTCGTAATTCTTCTTATCACGGACGGCGAAATGTTTTCGGTCGCCTAGGAAGGTGTGGAAGTCAAGCATATTGAGAATGAGAAGAGGAAAGTAAACCCTTCTATATAGCGCAAGAAGCCTTTACCATTTTCGGAGAGATGGTGCTTGTGTTTAGTGTCAAAGTTTTTCAGACCGTTGATAATTTTATACTTTCGACAACCTACGTAATTTATTTGTTACACACAATGCTGTCACGTGTATTACTTAGATTGCACACACAACCATGCATACATAATTTATCCGGAATTTAAATTCAAAACACTGTATACTATATATAATATACATTCTATTATAATGTGATTGATCCTTTTTTTAACATATTGTATCTTTCAAAAATGTCCATATTTCTAAATAATTGTACTTTGTGTTTTTAACAGTCCATCGTGTAACCCTTTTTATTTAAATTGTGAGTTAAAGAAAAATATGCTATACATAACTGTACATACATGCTGTATATAGAGGTGGTGTCGGTAAAGAATTGTGTCCGGTAATAAAAACACTTGCTTTACTATTGAGGTAGTTGTTGAGCTTGTTTATTGGCCCGAACGAGATGGCTCGGGTGTTGATGTGTTTGGCGATGGGGAATCAATTGATTTTTCTTATTTGTTCTGAAAACAACATTTGGATATCAGCGATCGTCATTTTTCCATGGTCGACCGTTACACCAGACAAATCAGGCGAGTGACACGATGCTGTTTACCATGTTTACCTTTTAAAGAAGTCATGAACAATAGAGAGATGCAAAATTTGATTTGTGGATAATTAATCATTTACGCGTCATGGATTCTGGAATGCCTTTGTAGCACACGCAATATAAAGGGTTGTTCTTTATTCTAATCTCAAATGTCGGAAAATCCCGAAGCAATTATCCGATCAATGTTTACATATGTAATTCATCATTCATACACGAACGATCAAATGCCGCCGAACAATTCGTTGTGCGACATGGCGTCCAACTCGGATAGTCCAATTCTGGCCTGATACCTTGTCAGCTCATCCTTGTCAACCTCCTCAATATAACTTAGCGTGCGCCAACTTCGTTCCAATAAATCCTTCGGAATAAGATAGATCGTTTGCGAATGCGAAGACAAACCACGGAACAGTGAAATTAATAATACTATTGATGCTACATTCGCGTACAAAGAAAATGAGGCGCATGTCTGTCAGCTGTTTTCGCGTAGCATTGATGAATGATGGCGAATAAGGTCGCACCTCTTCGGATTTCAGCTTCACTCTGGATATCCAATATATTCAACACCCAATCCATCACATCTCTGAACCATGAGGTTAACGCCAAAGGTGATGTCTCGCACGCACATCCAATGATGCTTAACGCCGACATACGCAAGGTGACGTTTTCACCTCTGTTCAAAACGTGCAGAAGTGGTGGCAGGAGAGTAACAACTTTTCACATAAATTGAGTGAGTTAGAGGAGATATGCACAGAGATAATTATAATAAGACGCAAGTGGAAAAGAGCGATCGAACGTGATAAGTGCATTAAATTAGAACGAGCCTACTATATTTTCCAAGCGCATCTCCACACCTTTGAACTGTTTGTAAAATCGCCTCTCCTACGCGCAATCGATTATCCAGATTTTGACCGGCGTCCGAATAGATTTTCATCAACTTTCTTATGATCACTTCTCCGTGAACGTCGGTCAACGATGATAATCCCTTGATGGCATTGAAATAGATGAAACTATTTTGACACACGAGGACAGAGGTCACCGGATGCATCCTTTGTTAACCGCAACTTCAAGAATCCAATTAAATTAATACCTTTCATCATCTTGAACCATCTGAATGAATATGTCAAAAACTCTATCCAAATTCTCCCCTTCGTTCATGACCACGTCCTTTTCGAGCACCATCTCCTTAAGCATCGTGATTCCGCGTGCTTTTATAGGGAGAATTTCATCTTGCAACGCCTCTAGAGCTTCCTGAAATTTTTTCAAACTTTCTTCCCTGCGCTGTGATTCGTGAGAATTCTGTGAGGGTGACGAATATTTGGATGCAGCCTCACGCACGGATATCGTTAATCTCAGACCTCGAGATAGCGAACAAATCGAGGGGTTGGGATGGGTTTGAAATGGAATTAAATTGCCCGAGACCAAACTTAGAACATGAGAATCCTGCGTCGATAGATCCTTGTGCTCTTGATTCAAATTGACATCGCGTTTTGCGTTAGAATTTCCACTCCTCAGCCGTCACACACGTCAAAATAAATCGAAACAGGTACGTACCTGCCAACAATGATGCCAAAAGTGATAAGGCGAGGGACAATATTTCATCTTCCTCATTGTCGTCTTCGGTCGAATCCTCTTCTTCATCTTTGATAATGTTGCTCAATTCACCCAATCCACCAAATCTTCCTCTCAATCCAGCACCTTCGTTACCTTTCCGATTCGCCTCAACGTTGCTATATCCCTCCAACACATTATTCACGAATGCGATCATTTGTCCAGGCTTTTGTAGAATGGTTGACCCGAGACTATCAATCATCGTCATAATTATATGAAGTAGCGTGAGAAGTCTAGAGAGTTGATACAACATTGTATCATCAGAATCGATGGTCACGGAGGCTGGAAATTAACAAAAAAAAAAAAAAAAAAATTCCTTACCGCCTGGGATTCGACTCTTGTAGTCGAACGGAACGTGATGATGTGTATTCCGTTAGAAGATACATAAAGAGATCTCCAGACAACTCGTTCCTTGATATAGATTTCACGAAATCGATGAATAGGTTGACATCTAGTGTGGTTGCGGTGACCGGAGAATTGGCTGCGGTCCTGGAAAGTAATTGCACGCGGATTTAATGCAGGTTTCTATCATTTCCCTAAAATGCCTGCTTAATGAAACCCTTTGACATACATTCGTGATCTCATGACGGCACCTCCGGAAGGTCCAGGCGAGAAATAGACCTCCCCAACTTCCCCGACATCAGGGGGTCTCAATCTTTTATTTTTCCTAAACACTATTTCCTTGAATGTTTCGACACCTTCGCTGACCGACACAATTTTAAAATATGTCAATAAGATATCCATTACAATATCTTTCAAGAAGGATTTTGATGTGCACGTGAATGAATACAAGTAATATAATGGCGCAACAGAGTCTTGCAAGAAGAATTGTAGTAGATCGGGTATCGGCTCACTTCCGACTAATAGGCGATGTATCACCGTAATGGTGGATTGTAATGTTTGTTCATCCATTATCAATGGATCAAGGTCTGTGGCGGGATTGTAGTTCCGTGAAATTTGATTCTTTTTCTCCAACGTTATGCCCCACCATTGCCACAATGCACCAAATATTCTGGTAATTATGAATTGTTTTGTGATCATGGGAAATTTGCTAAACATTCTTGCGATTATTAAGGATGCAACATTGACAATTGGTGGTGCCAACTTTGCGTTAGAGTTTGGTAGTAAAGTTGAATCTGATTGAACTATGGACAGCAACTGTGGACATATTATGGAAAAATATGCCTGCGGTTGTAAATTAAGAAATAATGTTAACAGGTAACCTCTACCTCTACCCTTGTTGCGAGTTAAACCATACCTCGTTGGATTTCGCGGTATTAGGAACGGAAAGTACCAATTGGGATATGGCCTCGACCTTGGACAAACTTGCTAAGAACAGGAGAGGTGTAAACCAAAGGGACCTTGAGATTACACTGGCACGCATGATGGATGTTACAGTTGCTACTGCCCATACCTACCTTCGCCATCCCCTCCAATCATAAATTCAATGACATCCTTCACGCCGCTTGGTCTCAATAAAACTCGGGTTAAATACCTCCCGCAAGCATTCTTCAACCATTTTGGTGGTTGATGCGATGGCGATGACGCCAAAAGAGTGGTCAAAGCCTCCAGAGACTGAAAAGAGTCCGATCTAAAAGAGTATCCCAAATTATTACATGATAATGGATGAGGTCGTCGTGAATATAAATTCCATCAGGTTGTCACCTTTCGAAAATTTCTCTGAATGTTGATATGCAGTCTTTGCGTATTTCCTCCAGTTCAATGTCCCTGGGTGTTTTATCACCAACCACCACGTCCTCCCTGTTTTCATTGCTCAACACAGTTATCAATTGCCGCTTTGCCTCACGTCGTTTCAACTCCTGCTGTCCATTGCTCGATAAAATCGGTCCATAGGCCAATTGCAACAATGCAGCATAAATATCTGTGACATGCTTTCTATATATGGTGGACGAAACCGAGGTACACGAAATTGATTTGCTCGATGATGGGAATACGATGCTTGTTAATGATCTTGATATTCTGAATAACCATCTTGATTTTTGCAGTGGATCGTCGAATGCTGCACTATCGTCGTCGTCACTTGTCATTTTCTCAAAAAATTCTATGGACATTATTAATATTAACAAAGGTCAATCTTTCTGGTTGCCGCAAAAAAATGTAACCACTGAACAAAGCATTGGTCAATTGCTGTACCGTTCTGGATGTACCCGGATCGAGTTCTGTGTGAAATTGGAATTCCGACTCCCGGAAGAAGGCAAGGGTATATGCCCCAACTGACTACGATCTCCAGCATCGTGTGAACAAGCCTCAAGTCTCGTACGCCCAAGGAATCTGGTTCTTGCAATTTATTGCTTTCGGCCAGCTCTTGACCTTAAAATGTATACATGCGGGTTGGTCGATCTTTGTTATTCGGGTTTAATGATTCAATGATAGAAGATGATGCATCATCACTAAAGAGAAATCTCGATAACCACTTTTAATCTCATCGACGCTTCTTAAAGTCAACTCCAAATCCTCCAGAATTTCCAAACACTTTGTGACATAATTTTCTCTTACGCTCCTACCACTCGTTCGCGCGAAGGTCAATTCTTCCGATTGTTGTTCCCTCTCAACAGAAATTTGCTTTAATCTAAGACTCAGTCTTTCCTGCAACGACCCAGCTTTGATTTGAAAAAACGGTAAACAGAAAAGAAGGGTAAATGTTAGTATTGCAAACAAAGTTGGATTAAAATATCCTATCGTGAAAAACACCTTTCTGGTTTTCTTCGTCAGCGGGACCGACCAAGATGTAAGCTTTTTGTAGCAGGTCAAGAATTTTGTTGTCAAGGTTTTTTAACAAATGTTCTGGTGATGTATTTGATGACATACTATGAATTATGCAATTTTGCGATAAGACCTTGATCATCCAATATATGCATTACCATCGGGTCACGTGATCGAACAATTACGTTCAAACTCGTTTTCAAAAACAAAAAACTCGAAATACAGTAGAATAATACTACAAAGGTCGGTAGATGTGAGGTTAAAATTTAAGGATGCCAGTTCATGGCCAAGCGGTCCTAGATGTACTTGGATGTACTGCATACTTTTTATGAATCGTATACCGTATGCAACAAATTTCAATCTCTCGAGTTCGAAATTTGACCGCACTCGCGTCTTTGGTGGCATCGAACGAATAATTCGATATTCCTACGGGCCCGCTTAATTTGAACGCGAATGAGTTCATTCGTAAGGATTTTATCGTGTGCGACTTTAGAAAACCTCAAACCTTCTTTCGTTGCGACCTCTAATAAAGGGGGCGGAGGTTAATTCTTTACGTTGACGTAGTTTCAATTCATCATAACGAATAAATAGCTTCCTATGATTAATAATCATAAGAAAATTTAAACGATCAATAAATAACATTCTTATTTTCTCATTGCGTAAAAACATGGAAACTTTGGAATCTTGTAACTATTTTTGCAATCATTTATTTAAAGTTAAATAAGCGATTAAACCCGCCTTCACAATTTCACATCCTCATATCGCATTGTTTTTTTTTTTTTCTAAAAAAAAAATCACCAGTTAAACGAAAACACATAAACCAGAATCGAGCCATAATAAGGTGTGTGTTATGCTTGACCAGGTGGTTTATGCTTGAACCAGGGGTTGCAACGCGATGGCCGCGTAAAGATCTAACGAAAAGAAATGAAAAATCCGTAAAAAATAATTACCCAGGTCAAATACACTATATGCATTACAACTTCGCAAAGCGGAAGTTGAGATTTCAAGGCTTTCGGCCGAAAATGTGGAATTAAGAACCACCATTGCGAGATTAAATGATAAAATTAAAAAGTTAAAAAGTGAGAGAAGCGCAAGAAATGATAAGTTTAAAGACAGTGTCAAAGTAAAAAAAAAAAAAAAAAAACGAAATTATTGTTATTCGTAATATAAATTTTGGAAGCATCGGCTCGATAAACATTCATTTTTCTCCTTGAAGTCCACCAGTGGCCAATTGTCCGAGATAATCCAACTGCTTCGTGGAACCGCCGATTCTTTGAATGCCCTGATGGACCTAGACCGTAGCAGAAATTCGATACATTCAAGCTTTCATTCGGACGGCGAGTAGTAACGTCAAAGACAGTGCGGACTTATGTGTTGCCATGTTCTTTATTAATTCGAACCATTGATTTTACCAAAAAAGATTCAATAGTCGATCAATCCGAGACAAACGATGGTTCCGACGGCGAAGGTTACCAATACGCTTCAAAATTCACACCAGAGATCGATATTGCATTAGAAAAACTTCCAGAGAAACGAAAGACACATAATTTGGTTCAACCCTTGAAATCTGATTTGAACTACGTGAATATGACCAACTAATTAAAAATTTCTATACATAATAGCTCGCCGTATACAGGGAGAAGCCTAAAGCACTACAGACGATAAACGAGGTGAACGAAGAAGAATGCTTTTACAAAAAGAATGAAGAAGCAAAAGATGGTTCGAGGTCTTTGCATTTACTTCAACCACATAAATCTCGGATTCCCGTTAAAAACTCGACGAAACGATCGTTCCCAATATCACCGGTAAAACCTGAACAGCAACAGCAAGCAAGCAAACAACTCGAGGATTCCGCTCAAGCATCGACACCTAATGCCGACAAAGATGACGGGGATAACGAAATGCCGAAATCTCAAACCACTCCAGAAGAACAAGGGACGAGCGAGTCACATTCAAAGGGTAGTCAAATTAGTTGTGTTTTTTAGACTGTACCAGAAAATAACATTTTTTTCTTTACGCTTACAAAGATGTCACATCCATGACGAGGAAAAGCACACGAATAAAAGGCGATGTGAGCTATGTCGAACCGAGTCTTCGCAGGTGAATATGTCATTAGCACAGTACGGTCTACAAGTATCCATTTACTGTACCTGCCGTCAAATAACAACAAATAATACAAACAGCAAATTACGTCAGGGAGATCCATTTACATATTCGTTGGAAGATGCGAAATATTCAAGTCCATCAAAGACCCCAAAACAAAAAAAGCGAAAAAAAATTATGATCTCCAAGTGTGGTAAGAACATTTCTGATATTCAATAGGCAAACGTCACGGATGGTAAGACGAATTCCATTGTATCCATTATTCTTTAATCTATATTTGCTCGAGGAGTTGACATTAAATGAGAATGCCATTGAAAATTCTATCTCCCTATTAATAGCAGAATTTAAATTGTTATTTAGAAAAGTTCTGCTTATTTCTATAACTTTGTACAAGTGTATTTATTTTTTTACTAAATCGCTATTTAGACGCTTTATTTTTGAATCATTTTTCCTGTTCCTTATTACTGTTCAAAAATTTTATTATTCATCTGAAATACTGTAAATACTTTAAGCCATTAATAAAATCCAAATGATTTTCTTACTGTCTGTTTAACAGAATTTCGATTATTTAATTTAGAGAAAAACCTTTTCATCTTAATATCTAAAGTATTTTTATAACATAAAATTTTTATAATAATCATTCTATTGATACTTTGGATTATAAATATTTTTGCTACCGAAATACTGTAATTTTATTTAACAGGAAATGCTAAAATTGGTATTATTAAAATCTTGAATCTTGTAATCAAATTAAGGCAAAACATCCGTCTACTACAGTATTTCTTGGGTTCGGTCTTATTGTAAAGATTCATTTGTGAAATTCGATCTTTGTCAATACGAAAACTTCGAGTTTCCATGTTTATAAATATCAAAGAATTATAAATTTTTAATATAGTATAATTTGAGATTTAAAATATTTCATTTATTATTTTTTTTTTTTTTGTATAATCTATAATCAATTTATATAACAAGTTTTATTATTGTAACTTGATTTGATTTTTTATATATTAACTTATCTATTACTAAAAAACTATTTCTTTAAATATAACTTAGAAAAATAATAATTTATCCTTCTACTAATTTGAATTAATCTTTAATCAATAAAATTATTATCTATAAATTATTATTGTAGTTTGTTTGTGACTTAAAATCTTAACAATTATAATTTTATAGTAAATTCAATATATAACAATTTCTAAGATATCAGTTCTAACTTTTATTTTTAAAAAATTTTTTTTTTTGGTTTCTAAATCAATTATTGATATTATTATTTAATTTTATACTTTTTAAGTAATCATTTTGTATTTGACTTTTTGAATTTTTTTTTCTAATTAATAATGAATTTTTAAAATATTTAATGTATAAAATTTTATAAATCTTTATTTTAATAGAAATAAAATACAAAAATATTATAAATCAATAATTTAAATTAAAAAAAACTATTATAGATAGTTTCATTATATTTATTAATTTAAAATTTGAATCATTAAACAAACATATACTTAGACATATTAACTTCCCCTCATTTATCTCAATCAAAACAAATGATTTGCTATTTTGTACTTCAAAAATATCTAAGACCTAAATAAAACAAAAAGTACTATACTTTATTAAAAAACTTAGAACTAGTCTGGATGTCAAAAACAAAAAACCCTGCTTCAGCAGTAATATTCAAATATATAATTTTAATACTTGAATTATAAAAAAAAAAAAGTTAATAAAGAAAGATAAAACTGATAAACTTAGTCAATTTAGACTTTCACTCTTATAACAAAATAAATCTTCTCTAGTAAAGTAAGGCAAATGATCCAATATAAAAAATACAGTTAACATAAGACAAATATATATCAATATTGTAAAAGAATCCTCTTATCAGTTCATACAAACAAAAATGATTATAAAAATCCTTAGATAGCTTCAAACAGATATAAATATGATCAAATATCAAATTTATATGTTAGATAGAAGAATAATAGCAATTGAAGTGGACCTTTTCATCAAAACCAAAGAACTAACAATAGTAGACTCACCCTCAAGATACAGTCCATCTCTAACAAGTTTAAGCTTCAGAACCCCATTATTGAAAGACATGAATATTAAACAATAACAAGAAATCTTAAATAGAAAAATTGATCAAATATAATCCACAATAGATTCTATTATAAAAGAAATAATGAACTGTTAAACTTATTTATCAAAACATCAAGCACAACAAAATCAACTTTATAGTTTCTTCAAAACAACTATAATTAATAACTATATAGAGAACAATATTTGCAATAGGTAAGAAATTAAAGAAAATAAATCAAATGAAAAACAAGAATTGTGAAAAATAGAAACAATAAAAGTTAAGAAAATTAATATAAAAACAGATAAGTTATTATTATTAAAATATTGTCAAAAAACTCAAATAGATATCTTAAAAATAACAGAAACTTGATTCACAGAAAATCAGAAATAGTAAAATACAGAGAATAGATATCAAATATGGATAACAAAACTATCACAACAAATATATAGAACAAGAGTAGCTATAGTAATGGAAAAGAATAATTCATATATGTTTTTAATATAAAGAAATACAATAATCGTGATCTATTACTAGATATAATCTTTAAAGAAAGAATTCAATATAGAATCATAACATTATATAACTTAATAAAAGAATTGAATAAACAAAACAGAAGGAAACTATAATAATCAAGACAAAGATAAGTAAGACAAAGGAAAAAAACATGTTTGTGATAATAATAAGGAATCTCAACAAGGTAATAAATAAGCATTTAGATTATATAGTAGAAAAGATTAGAGGAAACAAACTATAATATATAATTAATACACTAATAGTATTTAATCTAATAGATATATATAGATATGTCTATCTATTTACAAGAAGCTATATATATAATAATGATGGGTCCCTAAAGTATTTAGCATATAAAATTTTACAGATCACTTATGTTCCTTTTTGAGGGACAAAATTCATAGCTCTTCACTTTAATAGGAACAAAAATCAGGAAATGCT